TTTTTTTTTGCTATGTTTTGTTTTTGTTTTACCGTTCCTTTTATTTATTTCCTTTAATGTTTTCATTTAAAGTTTCTTTTATTTTAGTTTTATAAAATACCCAGTCAGCACCTAAATTAGTATTACTAATTAGTCCACTGCCACAATTATTTTGGCACACTACTAATTTAGTTTGATTATTATAACTTTATAAAAGGCATCTAATCAATTGTTTTTGCTGTCATTTCTATTACTTTAGTGCATTTAAATATTTTATTAAAAGATAATTTATCCACCAATATTTACTAAGGATTATTAGACACATTAGGAACAATTTAGTTTCGACTCTTGAAAACTTTAATTGTTTAACTTAAATTCAAATTTTGAATATGAATCGTTTCGAACTAACGCGAGATTATCAACAGTAATCCGAGGTGACGTGGCATCGTTAACGTGGGGTTACTGTAGCCTAATTATCTGGGCGTCACATCCAGCCTCCATTGGCTATTGTTCATCCAGCCTCCACGGGGTCCTGTTGATCCACCCCCAACCGGCTGGTATGTGGCGGCCTCCTCGGGGTCCTGTTCATCCAGCGACAACGACCTACTACCACGGGGTCCTGTTCATCCAACCCCCATCGGGAACTATTCATCCACAGCCAACCAACCGGCTTGACTCACCACGTCACGACTCGTTCTACTACCGCGCGCACGGTAGCAACTGTTCATCGAGAGGCAACCCAACACCAGCTGGCTACGTCTCGCATGGGGGATCGATCGGCTTTAGTAAGCAGCAGTAGTGATCGATCACTCGGGTTCAGTTAGCAGCAGCTGCGAAGGAATCGCTCGGGTCCAGTCAGCAGCGAATGAATTGCTCGGGTTCAGTTAACAGCCAAGGGATCTATTGCTCGGTTTCAGAAAACGAACGCCTCGCTCGGGTGCAGTTAGGGCCAATGCCTCGCACACACGGGTGCACGTGTATGAGAGAAACGCGCAAACCTCCGTGCATCGCTCGGCCCCGACCACCCACCGTAACCGGGAACTCCTCGATATTTTCCTCGTCCTCGCTTCTACCATGATTTTTTCCGTCACGGACAACACAAAGAATGTCATGCAGCCGCGTCCCCGTCCCGCCCAGGACGAAAGGCCCATTTTCTGTCATGATTTTTTGTCATAGAAGTAGGAGCCCACCACATCTACGATGATACATGATTTTGTCACAATTATCATCATAGAAGTGTCATAAGCATGACAGAAAAAAAATTGTTCGGCCTAAAATGTCACGGATGTGTCTTTTTTTTGTAGTGCATGGACGATGACAGGCCTGCTGCCATTCAACGGCCGTGCCTACACCATGGTTGACACCGTTGTCTCCTACAAGTTGCTTGGCCTTTTACGCCAAGGTACCACCGTGATCGACAATGATGATGAGTTTTTTTACAATGTCATTTGTTCGTCTCAGACGATGAGGACTTTCTGATTGTTACTATGGTTGTCAATGAGCACATTCTACGATGAGGCCAATGTTTAGGGGGTCGATCTCAGGCCATGCTCTGACCTTAAAACGTAACAGGGAGAACGGCCATTGCATACTCTATAGTGATTATTTCCAGTGCACGTCCCCACTCTTCAATGCCAAGCTTTTTCGGTGACGCTTCCGAATGGCTAGACATGTGTTCAATCCTATTCGGGAGGGAGTGGTGGAGTATGATGATTACCTTAGATGCAAGAGTGATGACCTAGGAAGGGTTGGCTTCTCCTCTTATCGGAAATGCACTACAGCTATCCGGATGCTTGCATACAAAATTCACGATGATCTTATGGATGAGTATGCCCAGATGAGTAAGTCCACATGCCTTGAATCATTGTACAAGTTCCGCAAAGGTGTGGTAGCAATGTTTGCCCGAAAGTACTTGAGAGAATTAAATGATGCAGATATAGCCCAATTGTTGGCGATCAGTGAATCCAGAGGCTTTCCGGGAATGCTTGGTAGCATAGATTGTATGAACTGGAAGTGGAAGAACTGCTCATTTGCTTGGCAGGAGCAGTATAAGGGGCATGTTAAAGCTTGCACGGTCATACGTGAAGTTGTGGCATCACAAGACCTCTGGATTTGACACTCTTTTTTCGGCATAGCAAGTTCTCACAATGACATCAATGTGCTTCAACGGTCTCTGGTGTTCACACAACTTGCAAAAGGTAACTTCCTAGAGGTCAACTTTGAGGTTAATGGCCACCACTACAACAAGGGATACTACCTAGCTGATGGTATCTACTCTCCGTGGTCAACTCTTGTGAAGATAATCTCCAGGCCTATAGGAGAGAAGCAAGCTAGGTTTGCCCAAGCATAAGAGAGACGTGGTAAGGATGTGTAGCTTTCATTGTGCTCCAATCTCGATGGGCTATTGTTCGGTACCCTTCCAGCACATGGAGCCAACACAGGATATGGAATGTGATAACTGTTTGTGTGATCATGCACAACATGATCGTAGAGGATGAGCGTGATGACAACATCTGCGACCAAGGGTTTGATTACCAGGGTGAAAAAATTGAGCCTGAGCATGGACCAACATCATTTGCAGAGTTCGCCAAATTTCATCATGAAATGCGTGATTGGGCAACCCACATTCAACTCCAAAATGATTTGGTTAAGCATATGCGGACACATCTAGGCAACCGATAAATGTATGAGATCTTTTTATTTGTTTTTGTAACAATTCCAATTTCATTCGGTTGTAAACTATGGGATTTCTATTTGGTTTAAACTATCTGTTGTGATGTAAAAACCATGTGACTTTTTATTTGTATTTGTATGCATTGAATGTAAAATGCTGAAATTTATGCAAATAAATGGTGGGGCAGACCAATGAGTCGGCCGGTTGGGTACCCTGGCAACGGGAACGTGAACGAGGCCGGATGCCGCCCCTCCGGCAGACTCAAAGGACGAAATCTAGACAAAAATGACGTTCGTTTGGTTCGGTGGATTGGAGTTTGCCTTAGCTCACGCGTCTGCCACCGAACCTCACCCTCTTTCGACTGTGGGGTTGCTTCAGAGATAGACAACGCAGGGACGAGGCCACCCGAGCTTGTGCACTCCTAGTTGTGTGGGTGTTCCAGCGTGTGGGTCGTTTGTGTGGTCGTCGCAACTCCTGGGCATGCTCAGGCGGTGTCACACCTGTTTGATGAAATGTTTGAAATAGGAAGAACGATTTTGGAGGCGTGGTTATATACTGAATGAATGAGGGTTTGAAATGGACACGCTCAAAAAGGTCAAATTACTCCATCTTAGTTTTTTTCCGAACTTCCATCTTAGTTTTTGTGAACACACTATAAACACAAATGCCCACATACATGCACATACAATCTCTATAAAAGACACTCACGCACATCCTATGAGCAACTCCGATGTACTAAATCAGCACAACATACTGAAATTGAGGAAGTCACCACTCACCACCAACGCCTTCTTAGTGGGAGAGATGGTCTAATGCAAATAAACTAACTTTCTTTTTGGGCCTAAGTTTTTTGTTTTCTTTTTGGACCTTGGCTAGAGGTTTTTTCTTTTTGAGTCCAACCCAAAGTAGCTGACGGGCTCCCTTGTTTGTGTGTCCCCCACTCCCGGCGACCGCGAGCCTCTCGTCCACCCCCGACACCGAGCCGAAAGCCGCGTGGATTCGCCGCCCGATCCAGCGATGGATTCAGCCTCCAGAGTTGCCCCGCCGCCGGTCAGCGCTGGTGTCCGCGTCCGCGCGCCGCTGGTGAGGCGCCGCCTTCTCTTATACGTTTTGTTCTTCGCTCGAAGCACGCTTTTTGAGGTCGAATTTACCCGGGGAGTGAGTGGGTGGGGTTGTTCTTGAGCTGAAGGCGCACTTTGGGTGCAGACACGAGGTGTTTTAGCTTAGGGATGGGTGTTTGTGTTTCATACTGCAAAATGGGGTGTTTTTCTGCTGATTCGTTTGTGGCTGCGGAAACGTGGATCTGGGTGCTTTGGGCTTTGGACAGCCGAGGTCATGTGTGATTTTACATCATATAAACACAGGAAATCAAACATAGAATAGGGAAAACACAGGAATTGAGATGCCATGTAACCTGAGTTCCTACAGGAATCTAAAACACAGAAATAGTCCAACACTGCCATTTGGATACCACAAAGGGAAAACATGAGAATTGTAGACATAAGGAGGAGAAATATGAGGTAAGACCTCATGTTTGTTTTCCTCCAAAATTCCTATGGATTGCCCCATTTCATACGAATTTCGAGGAATCTTGGTGAGCCAT